CCCCCCCCCCAAAAAAAATAAATAAATAAACGTTGAAAAAAAATTAAAAAAAAAAAAGAAACTATAGTATTTGGGATATATTAATAATAAAATATATGATTGAAATATTTTGTCAAAATACTTTCACTTTTCTTTTGAAATGTGGCTACTAGAGATTTTTAAATAACACATGTTATTATATACATTATATTTCTATTAGAAATATATTTATAAATAAATCTATTAGAAACATATTACATTATATTTCTATTAGCATTGTTTTCGACCTAGTGATTTTCAAAATGTGATCTTTGGGTCAGTAGCAGCAGCAACGGCACATGATAACTTGTTACAATTGCAAATTCTCTGCTGCCCAGACCCACTGAACTGGAATCCCTGGGGATATAGGACCCAGCTGTCTGCATTTTAACAAGTCCTTCAGACCAATCCCGTCTGAAAACTCCCCTTCTGCTTTCTGTGATGCAGTACTCTCCCAAACCCACCCACTTCTCACCCCTCCACTGTTAACACCCTGGTCTGAGCCCCATTCGGCACCAAATGGACCACCACAATTGCTAACAAACCCGCCTCTAATCTTGTGTCCTACTTGTAGTCCTCTCACCACAGCTTGAGGGGAGGGGCAAGGGGTGTCTTTCAAAAACATAAATCAGATCGTATTACTACTCTGCGTAAAACCTTCCAATGGCTTCTCGTTGCACTTACAGTAAACTCCGAGCTCCTTCCTGTGGCTGCTGCAGCCCTCCGTCACGTGACCTCTGCAGCCTCCTCAACCTCACATTGTTGGAACCTCCAACTTCCCTTTCACTCTTTCGGCCCCAGCCATCTCTTCTCGCTGTTCTCACACACTCCCAGCTCTTTCCTGGCTCGGGGCCTTTGTGATGGCCATCCCCTCTTCTGGGAATAGAGTTCTCCCAGATCTTTGTAGTGTAGGTCTAGCTCTCTTGTCCTTCAGGTCTCTCAGTTCAGATGCCCCATCTCAATGCTGTCCTTGTGTCACTCCAACTGAAGCCTGACTCCCGGACGCCCACATTCACATATCACCCACCTCTCCTTCTGCGTGGCATGTTACACACATTGTTCTTCCTCTTCTTCATTTGTTTGTCTCCTCTACTAAATGTCGTAAGCATACAAGGGCAGGGATTCACCTCTCTTGCTTACCACTTTGTCCCCAGCTCCTACCTGCACATAGTAGGTGCTCAAGATAGGTCTGTTCACTGACCTAGGAAGTGCTCCTCCTCAGTCTCTCTTGTGGCTTCTACCTACTCTGAAGTCAGAGGACCATTGGCGTCCACAGTGTTTGAAAAATAGGAACACCCCGATGACACTCCTGATTTCTGCCTTCTGCCGTGTTGGGATATCTGACAACTTGGAGCCCACTTTTATTTTCTTATGTTTATTTATATATTTTATTTATTTGTTTTGAGGGGGAGCAGAGGGAGAGGGAGAGAGAGAATCCCGAGTAGGCTCTGTGCTATCAGCACAGAGCCTGATGTGGGCCTCGATCTCATGAACTGTGAGAGTTGGTCAAGAGTTGGACACTTAACTGACTAAGCTACCTAGGCACCCCTGGAGGCCATTTTTCTCCTTGGGCACAGTAGGCTGGAGCTGCTAAACCTATGAAGGTTTAGCTGATGGAGATACAGATATTAGAAAAGACAGACGTTAACACATGGAAGTGGTTATGCACCAGATGGAGGAGCTAAGGGGCCAAGTAGGAGCCAGTGAAGCAATCAGAAATTAGCAGCAGTGGGAAGCCACTGTCACTCCAGGCTGGAGGAACAAAGGAAGGAGTTACCATCATCAGACCCAGAGACAAAGTCACCTCATAGAAGCTGGAGACCCAGAAGGATTGTCTAGCTGGCTGGAGCTGTGGGGAGGCACAACCACAGGGAGAGGGAAGAATTGCCTTGGCCTGCTGCTCCCACGCGCTGGGCTCCTGCCACTGCTTCCTGTTGGCAGAACCCCAGGTAAATCCAGATAAAGGGAGAGGCTGGAAACTGGCCTGGGATGCAGGCAGAAAGGGGAGGATGAGGAACAGGTCTGGGGGCAAATACAGCCTAGAGCAGTACAGCACGGGGTCCCGGACAAACCAGGGTCCCCACCATGCCGTGGTGTCCCCACCTCACTGAGTCACATTATAGGTCTTGCTGCTGTAGGACTAGGGTTAGGGTAGAATTTGCGACCCCAGTGTTTCAGTTCTCTTTTGCTGCATAACACGTTATCCAAAAACTAAGCAGCTTAAGTCAACCATTTTCTTTTTCCTCTGACTTTATGGATCAGTTATTCCAGAAGGGCTCAGTGGGGCTGTTCTTACTTGGTGTCCATCGTATGGTTGAACTCAGATGTTAAGTGGGCTGGAGTCATTTGAAAATGCGACGGGCCTGGTGTCCCAGCTGGCTCACTCACATAGCTGGCAATGTTGCTGACCATCAGATGAGAGGTCAGTGGGCTGCTGACCAGAGCAAATACACATGGCCACTCCAGCATGACAATCTTACATGGTGGCTGGCTTCTCCCAGAGCATGTGTCGCAAAAGATCCAGAAAGAAACTGCTTAACATTTTCTGACTCAGCTTCTGAAGTCACACAGCATCACTTCTCCTGCTGTCTATTAGTTGAAGTAGTCACCAAGTAGTTTTTTTTTTAACTTGTTTTATTTTTTATTTTTTAAAATTGACATCCAAATTATTTAGCATATAGTGCAACAATGATTTCAGGAGTAGATTCCTTAGTGCCCCTTACCCATTTAGCCCATCCCCCCTCCCACAACCCCTCCAGCAACCCTCAGTTTGTTCTCCATATTTACGAGTCTCTTCTGTTTTGTCCCCCTCCCTGTTTTCATATTATTTTTGTTTCCCTTCCCTTATGTTCCTCTGTTTTGTCTCTTAAAGTCCTCATAGGAGTGAAGTCGTATGATTTTTGCCTTTCTCTGACTAATTTTGCTTAGCACAATACCCTCCAGTTCCATCCACGTAGTTGCAAATGGCAAGATTTCCTTCTTTTTGATTGCCGAGTAATACTCCATTGTATATATATACCACATCTTCTTTATCCATTCATCCATCGATGGACATTTGGGCTCTTTCCATACTTTGGCTATTGTCGACAGTGCTGCCATAAACATGGGGGTGCACGTGTCCCTTTGAAACAGCACACCTGTATCCCTGGATACATACCTAGTAGTGCAATTGCTGGGCCGTAGGGTAGTTCTATTTTTAGTTTTTTGAGGAACCTCCATACTGTTTTCCAGAGTGGCTGTACCAGCTTGCATTCCCACAAGTGGTTTCTTACCTATGTGCCTTTGTACATGCTCTTCCACTGACTGTGTTCTACTCTTAAGACACAGGTGTGTAGTTACCTTTATTGGAAGCCTTCCCTGGGAGCCTTCCTGAGCATGTACTGTCTCAGGTTGGGAGAGGCACCTGCCTCAGGGCCCAGTAACGGCCTGGGCCCATACATTCACTGCATTTTAGGAGAGTGCGTCTGTGGGGCCCACCATTGCATCTGTTTCTTGCCTGACCCTTGCGAAAGGTCAGTAAGGAGCCATTTAATGGATTGTGGAAGTCAGTTATACTGAGATTCCCAAAGAACTATGCCTCACTGCTCACGCTCTCCCGCAGTCCTCTCCCTTGCCTCTGCCTTGGACATGTGACTTGTTTTAACCAACAGAATGTAACAGAAGTCACCCTCTGCCAGTTCTAGCCTCAGTCTTAAGCTTGGCAGCTTTTGCTTTCGTGTACTCAGGAACGCTGAGCTCCCTGTCGGGGAGACCACATGGAAAGGCCACACAGAGTGATTACGTGGAAAAGCCACATGGAGAACTGAGGAAGCCAGATAGCGAGAATTGATAGTGACCTCTGTTCTAGCTGTCCCTTGGCCGTTTGAGCTTTTCTTGAAACACCAGAAACATGAATAAAGAAGCCTTCTTGGATGCTGTAGCCTCAGCTGACATCATGTGGAGCAGAGACAAACCATCTCTGTTGGGTCCAATTCAAATTCTTAAAACACAGGACAGTGAGCAAATAATAACATAGTTGCTGTTTAAGCCACTAGTTTTGGGAATTTGTTATGCAGCAATAGCTACCTGATATAGGCTGAGTGAACTATTTCCTATTTTCTGTGGGCCTTATGGAGTAAAGGGGCAGGATGTTATTCCCAACATAAATAAACTCACTGCCCAGATTAAGGCTGGCATATTGTAGGCATTCATTCATCCCCTCATTCTTTCATTCACTCATTCATTCCCTCATTTATTCTTTCACCAGACATTCACTGAGATACTCAACTGCTGTGCACCAGGTTCTGTTCTAGGTCCTGTAGATACATGAGTGATAAAGCAGACAAAATCATGGACTTCATCTAACTTAAAATGTGATTTCCATGAACTAGCAGTCATGCTGGGTATCTTACCGGAATGGCTGGCCAAAGACAGAATAAAGAAAGCAAGAATGTATTCTAGAACAGAACTATAATGTCAAACCTGTTGGATTTATATTCCAGCCATTTGGGGGAAGATATCAATTTGGAGCCTCATCTTACATGACAAATAAAAATAAATTCCAGATGGACTAGAGTAAAATATGGGAAGAAATTTACACAATAAAAGTCTTGAAGATGAAATAAATATTTAATAACCTCTGGGTTGGAAAAGACTACCTGAACTTCAAAGTTAGATGGGATGCTTGTATGAAGTCAAGCCAAGCTGTCCGACTTCAGCCAACATTCCATGTCCGTGAGTTCGAAAGCCCCGCCAGGCTCTGGCTGATGGTCAGAGCCCTGGAGCCTGTTTCCATTCTGTGTCTCCCTCTCTGTCTCCCTCCGCTCATGCTCATTCTCTCTGGTCCAAGTTAAATGTTGAAAAAAAAAATTAAAAAAAAAAGAAATGCAACCGGAAGTGCACCAATGGTAAAGAGCCTAAGGCTGATAATAAATGTTTAAAAAAAAAAAAAAAAAAAAAAAAAAAAAATGGGAGAACAAATCACCAAGGAAAAGACTGATGGATTTGACTGTTTAAAGAATTGAATATTCCATGTGTCCAAAAAGGGCATGACTAAAATTGAGGTTATGCAAATACTGGAGAAAAATACTCGCGACAGGCAAAACTGACAAATGGTTAACATATTGTAATGAAGATATTAATATATCAATGTGGAATTAACATGAAAATCCAATACCCAAAAGATGGGCAAATAAGAGGAAAAGACAATTCACAGAAGAAATACAAATAGAAAAAAAGTAATGTTCAAATAATTGCCACTTGAAATACTGAAACACATCCCTTTGCCTGTCAAATCAGCAAAGATGTTTGAAATGTGGTTCCCTGTAGCTGAGGAGAGTTCAGGTAAATGTGAGATTTCATTCACCATGGTTGGGATGGGAATGGGAATGACCCTTCTGGAGAAGGATTGGACAGCCTGAGTTCAAAGCCTAAAAATGTGTGTATCTGTTAATTCACCATTTATACGTCTAGGAATTTAGCCTCTGAAAGAATCCAGCAAGTGGGAAAAGATTTCACTAAAGAGATTTTCATGGCACCATTTTCTAATAATAACAGAAAAAACAGACCAGAACCAAAAACAAATTGGAAATAATCCCGTGTCCCACTAACATTTGACAAAGACCCATGGGATGTCATTTGAAGGTAAAGGGATTCCTTGCGAAAAGAAACGTGGGAAATGCTGGCTTGAATAAAGTTAGACGAGCTGCTTTGCTGGAATTTTTATCAGCATGCTGAAGTCCATGACAACTGTATGGGGAAGGGGTGGGGGGACCTCCTAGGCATTTCCACCCCCACCCCCCACCCCGCCGGATTTATTTGGTCAGGCAGCCTGAATCAGTTGGCTATCGCTGGCAACTGTCCTGCTATTCCTTGCTCCTCATTCTGTTGACCACATCAGTTCCCAACACCTACTCAGATTCAAGGGCAGGGAAATAGACTCCACCCTTTGATGGGAGTTGCCTTGAAGTCAGATGGTGAAAGGCAGGGAGACAGAGAGGGTTGAAAAATTGGAGGCATTTTTTGCAGTCTTCCAGAATCTTTGCTTCATGG